TTTTACAAAAAACATTTATATATTTTAATTCTAAAATATATGTGGATTTGAAATATGTAATGAAAAAATATGCAATTTTTGAACCTATTTTGATTTAAAAAAAGTACGCAGTGAGAGGGTTAAGATTGTTGCAATCTGCATTAAGTGTCTCCTGTATTATCTACACAGCCTAGCAATCAAAGGTAATAAGTTATTGTCAGCTGTTGATTTTCTCTGAATATTTTCAGAATTTTTTATTCATATGATCAGTACCTTTGACTTTTTGAGCTACTTCTTCCTGTCATCAGAATCATGCTTCTCATGTTTAAATTTGCCTAAACTACTGAGTTACAAAACTTGACTCTCACTCTACCACAGGGATCAAAGTATGTGAATTTGAAAATATCTGAATTGATATATATAACTGGAATTTTAATACTGGAGAATTTTTTATGCATATTTAGCATAAGAATATAAGTATATTTATGCATGCATCAAGGTAGCAAACTACACCAAAAGAGCCATTATATTATGACCACCCTGTTAATAACAGGTAGAACCAGTTTTAGTCCTCAAAACTGCCAGCACTTTAGCGGGGTATTGACTCCATAAGGTGCTGATAGGTAATCTGAGGTATCTGTTACCATCCTGCAATTCCTGCACATTGCGAGGGGCATGGCAGCACAAATTTGATTGTTCAGGTGGGACCACAAATGCTCCATTGGATTAACATGTTGATCCTGACACTAGAATTTTCTTTCGGCCGACAGTATTAAAGTTATAAAATAAATATAGCCTCAATGAAATGTGCTCAAATGTAGTTTTAATGAAATTTATTGAAGCATTCTAAACAAAAATATGGCTTAGTTTTACACATATTACAGTCAAAAGTCATTAATCCGGACTCGTCAGGACTTTGGCGATTCCGGATTATCGGTTTTTTCAGATTATAGATCATCAGTTTAAATCTGGTAAGATGGCATGCAGAAATTATAAAATTAAAAATATGAAACCGTAATTTATGAAATGAAGAGCAATTATGATCTAAAGGGTATCAAAATTTACAAAAAAAAAAAAAAAAAAAAAAAAAAAAAAAAAAAAAAGCTTAATATTTATTTGTTTACTTTATTAAACGTTTCTTTCAACACGCGCATTACACTATGCTTAGTCGAAATTAGAAAATTGCAACTAGAAAACTATTTGATGTGTATTCGTGATATTTATAATGACGAGGAATTTGATTTAAAAAAGACGGAGTACATCAAGATGAAATGCTACATTTAGTAAGGAATTATAAGCCAAATAAAATAAAAACATCTGACCTGAAGATAAGGATAGTGCTGACAGTGTAAGAAATTTTATGTGAAATTATATTTTAATCGCCAAAGAGGGCGTAAATCTTTCATGATGCATACTTCTTGTTCTTGGATCAGGCAGTGCCAGTTGAATGTGTGTTAGACGTGAATAAACTTGGCAGTTTTGAAACCTGATTCGTAATGTTGATTTACCTTGGTGTCATGTGTGATTTGAATTAGTGTTTCTTGAACCAGGATAACTTGAAATCTTGACCGTTATTATAATATTGTATAGACAGATCAAGTTCCAGTTCATTGCATGCCATGATGTCCCCCCTCCCCCCATAGAGTAGCGTGAAATTTATGAACAGATTTCGGAATGGTTAGAGAAACAAAGGATATGCCTTTATCCATTTTTTGCAGCAATTCCACTTTTTGTTTGATGGACATCGAAACATGCTTTCGCTTTGTAGATCCTTTGGCAGCTCCAGAATCGGAAATTCTTTTTGACATAATCGAAAGTTCAAGCTTACTTTTATAAAATAGCTCTAACAGTCTGCAAAAAATAATAAGCCGGATCCAATTAGAAGGTTAAGGAACAACGCAATTTGCAACATTAACTGAAATAGATAATTAAATAATTTTAGCTTAGCTTATACCGTTCGTTATACATTAAACGTGCATGCGTAAATGCATATGCGCATGCATTATGCATTTATATTATGCATTGTATAATACTTAACATTTTTTGGTAACGTTTTTGACTGTCTTGCGTACAAATAGTTTTGAATTGTCATCATAACATTTCGAACAACACCTTCGGACTTTATGTGCGTCTCCCTCCTTTTGTATAATTTATGAATAATTTAAGTCGGCAACATTGCACTGCTTGATCGCTCACTGTTGGCCTAACGGAAAGGACAGCAAATTCGCCGCCGGGCTCGACGTGTTAATGTCAGGTGAATTTGGAGGCTAAGACATGACTTAAAGGTAACTGGAATGTTCCTCGAACCACTCCCTGACAATTCGACTGTTATGGCATGGCGCATTTTCTTGTTGGTAAACATCATCCTCCGCCAGAAATACTGTTGTCATGAATGGGTCAACCTGGTCTGCAATGATGTTTATATAGTGTGCAGATGTCAGGTATTGTTTTATGAGGATTTTGAGTCCTAATGTGTTTCATGAAAACATTGCTCACACCATAAATACCCCCGCCACCGGCTTATCTCCGTACAAATGTGCATCCAAGAGCCAGGGTTTCATTTGAAAATCAGCATATTAGTACATACACATCGATGTGATGAACCAGAAAATGTGATTTGGCGGACCATGTGATTTTCTTCCATTCTTCTAATGTCCATTTCCAATGTTTTTTGTCCCATTGCGAGTGCAGCTGGTGATGACTTGTCGTCAGTGCAAGGATATGCTTTGGACTCCAGCTGCGTAAGCCCATATGCAGCTATGTACACGGCACGGTGTGTTGAGAAACACTGTCTGGGTTGCCACTGTTGTAGCTGGTGGTGATTTCGGCAGTTGTAGTTCTTTGGGCACGGCGAACAGTGCATAGCAATATCCACTCATCTGGAATCAATGCGCCAGTGACTTCCATCCATACAACAATTGCACATGAATAATCCACTAAACGTGTTGTTTTAGATATTGATGTTATCAGTCGCCAAGCCATAAGTATTTGACCTTTATTGAAGTCTGATAAAGCAGGTGCTTTTCCCATTGTGTCACTAATCATGCTATGTTTGGAAAGGCAATGCAGAGCCACTTTATATACTCCAACATTAGCTGTGTACTTGCAGTGTTTGTTCATGGGCGAGCCCATTGTTATATAGATGGAGAGTGGTCATAATGTAATGGCTTTTCGGTGTAAATAAAATTTCAAGTGTACAACTTTCTGCTTTCTGTAGTGTGTGGAATATGTTTCTTAGAGGATTTGATGAAGTGAGCAAGTATACTGAGACTCTAGTGACATTGTTAATTTTACATTACTAAAATGAGAGTAAATGGAACAGCTGTAGAGTGCATAATTCTGCTCTGGATGTTATTGATGCATGGGACACATAAAGAATTGCAGAATGATAGTTTCATACTATTAACAGTGAATCAGTTAAGTGAACTGTTCTTTATGTGGAAAATAATAGATATTTCATCTAAATTGTTTTAAATGTTTGCAAATGCTAATTAGTTATTAATTAAATGCTTTTGATAAGGTGATAATAATAGTAAAGTAAATGGAACAGATTAAAAAAATGGGTGGAGGAAGCATATTATAATGTAAGCATATCTTATAACTGAATTTGCAATCTGGATACAAAAATCGATGTTGATGGAAAGAAAAAATAGCAGTAGCTAACAACAGATAAAATAAAAATTAACCTCTGGAAACACTTTCTTTTCTTATAAAACCATAATTAAAAATGAAATTGAATTTTCATAGGGCATTTAAAAATTCTGCTCTAACATTTTTTGAATCTTTTTTTTCTGATAATTCTGGCATCTATATAAAATTTTTAAAATTAAATTCTACCATTTATAGAAGTTGAATTATCTTACTTAAATTATCGCTTAAGTGTGTTTTTTATAATCTAAAATTATTTTAAAGTGAGACTAACCCTTCTGTGAATATTCATTATATTCAAGCATTAAATTCTTAAATTATTTTAATACTTTTATGGTATTCACACATCTAGCTAGCAATCAGAGAATATGTGGTTTGATTCCTAGAGAAGTAAGAGTTAATATTTTTAGTTTCCAGCTCTGTTAGATGCCCATATAGTTTACAACTTTTATATTGCAGTTAATTTTTGAAATCATGTTTCCTAGAAAGTTTTATTATAATGAATTATATATGTTTTAATTAACATTTCTGCTTTAGGAAAGTATATTTTTTACTGTGTTGTAACTGAGAATTATATATACAATACAGAGTTCGAAATCTGGACATCCAATATATGGAATAATATAAATTTTGGACTTCCTGGTCACCAGTCCGAAAAGTTTAATATTAATTAATTAATTAATTAATAAAAATATCAGGAGTAATCCAAATTTTGAACTTCCGGACCACCATTCCCCACCCCTGAAATAGTAATAATAATAAACCCTTATAAAGTCTAGGAATGGCAAATATGGAACAAAAGGAAGCAGGAAGAATCCAGTTTGCAGCAAAATTGATAGAATTTTTATCATTTCTCCATGTCATGTTCAAACACTTGCTGGCTAGGAAATCATATTGTGACCAGTAACAATGCATTGATTGGTGTTGGGCAGGATTACACTTTTAGGCACTTGAGGGATTGTTGAAGGTCAGCACTAAACATTTTGCAGTCTCTATGGGTACTAAATTCTGCTACCTGGTACCTCCCTTAAATTCTAACATTTTTGCCTTCCCTAAATTCTGACACACAGTGCAGCCACACTGGTTGCACCTGCTTTAGCACCAATACTGTGGGGGATTAGCATTTTGCTGTTTGACCTATATAACAAGTGAAACACCAGTGTTGCCTCATCTACATGTCGTCTTACTAAATTTAAACTGATGATCTGTCCTCCAGAAATTTCCGAAATCCAGAATCGCCAAAGTCTTAATGATTCTGGATCTCAGACTTTGTACTATATGTAACCTAGTCATTTGTAAACACTGTCAATATTTTTTTAAATATTTATTTATTATTTTTTAATGTGATAAGTAATATAACTTCATTTCTGCAGATTGCAGGTATTCTTATGTTGTAGAACAGCAGCCTATTGGGCATCAATTGTTCAGGCAATTCTGCGAAACAAAGCCCCATTATAGTAAATGTAATGACTTTCTAGATATAGTGGTAAGGTTGCTTTTCTAAGTTATTTACATTACAATAGTTGTTATTATATTGCATATTTTTAAAATTATTTTATTGCAGCAAAACAGATCCACAAATTCATGTTAATGAATTGTTATTAAATATTTTTAATAGACAAATTGCCATAGAAGAATTTAAAATAATTAAATGCAGAACATTAAAAAAATTTCAAATTAAAAATATTAGTTTTTTGGTAATGTTTTTCATTTTGGTATTTTCATGTGCATAGGCACACTTCCTTTACTGTAAAATTTTCACCAATATTGGTAATTATCTATGCTTGAGAAAATTACTAATTTTAAAGCACTTTAGTATCATTAATTAGCTATATTTACATGAAGACTTCTAAAACTGAAGTTTGTGTCCCCATTTAGAACTGACAGCTATCTTATTCTTCACTTGAAACTTTACTGTGCTACCAGTTTCATTTGTATTTTTACTCTCAGATGATGTGAGATATGCTGCATTTTCTTCTGACCAGTCGTATCACATTGGAAAGGACATTTCTAACTCTTTGACCCTTATTTCTTCTGGTATTAGTTTCCACAATCCCTTTGCATATCTCAGTCGAGAGTTGGTTTTCTTGATTGACAACTCAGCATTACTTCTGCAGCACTATACTCTCCAGCATTACTGATGAGCTTAAAAAGGATATTTGATTGCTACATCAAGGTGTTGCAGCATTCCGGTTATTCTTTCTTGTACCACACCTATGTTATTTAGCTCCTGCTTCATCTTGTTTTCTGTGCTTCTGCTCAGGTGAAAGCTGTCAGTTGCCAGTATAGACTGTTGATGTAGCACTGGACCTGAATGCTCGAACTACACTTGACTTCAGTCAATCCATGCAGGGGCCTTCCGTCATCTTGCTTTGATCTCGAACTCGTATGCCAGTATTCTAGGCAGCAGTTTTCTCTTAGCAGAATTTTATGTTTTAAAGTTAAATAACCCAGCAGCATACTTCTCAGTGGTCATGCACAACATTATGATGCAGTGCTGCTTTTTTGGGCTATTTGCATGCGCCAAAACTGTTTTTGTCTCACCTGTATTCAGTCTGTTTAAAAAAGTGTAACTTGAATATCAAATATCAAAAAGACAAGAGCATCACATTATCTGTTGCTTTCAAGTTGTAGCGATGTGGAACAGTTTCTGGCAGTACATGTCAGGAAATTAGTATGCCATTGAGGTTCAACACTGAATCATGGGTTTATGTGGTGCATTATCTTGCACATTCCTAACTGAAGCTCATTTTCAGATTTTGAGCAATTTTTTGGACTTTAAATTATTTCAATAGCACAGAAAATCCATTTGCCAGCATTTCATGGGTGTATCTCAACAGATTTCCTTCATGGATATTTCAAGCTCAGGCATTTTGCTGCAAAGCCCCTGCTGATTTTGCTCATATATCTGAATTAGTATGTCTGTGTATCGTATATCTGAATCCATTAGTGCATGTTTTCTCTTGCATCAAAATTTTCTTCTCACTCTTTAATTTCCATAATCTTGTACATAGTATCAGTGTTGCTTAACCCATGTTTAGCATGTACTGAGCTGGCAGTCAAGAAAATGCATTAGCCATCTCTTCATTCTTATGCTTAGAATTTGCAATGTTGCCATATTTCTGTATACCTGTGTTTCTATTCTTGTTGTTTAGTAGAATTCTAAGATTTTTTAAATTTTTCCAAGTATATAGTTTCAGAAAATGGGTACAGCTTGTACATGTATCAGAAAACGTTAGCTAGAAAGTGAAACTGGAAAGTGAAATTAGTTTCTAAAAGAAGTAATTGAAACCAATGCTAGAAAATTAAACTTTCCTTTAATGATATATAATTTATTTTTTTTTTTAATATTTCATTCTCACTCTATCTGTAATCTACTATGAATGAAATATGTGTGTATAATTAATATTCTTTAATCATGGAAAAATGTTGTTAGTAGTGTATGAGTATTTATATAAATACAGAATTCTTTTTTTTTTTCCTGTAATTTATGTACAATAGTATTAGAACAGTAGTTCTCAACTGATTTGCCTGATGCACCCTTTTTATAATTGCTAGAGCATTTCTACCCTTCTTTCCAGAACTGAAAAAGTACATATACATTTAATTAGATTTAGATTAATTTTAATGTGCTTTTATAAATTAAGCAACAAAAATTATAGGAAATGTTGATAAATACCAAAACTTGAATAAAAGTAGATTTTCATTTATGAAACTAATTTTTTAATAACTAAATAAAAGTCTGACTGCATATACCCCAGATTGAGAATCCCTGTATTAGAATATGTAGCATAATTGAGAAGATGGATGGTAAATATTTTTATGAAATGCATCTAAACTCTTTAACCAGTGTTTCTTTTTCATATGTAGGATATATATGAAGTACAGTTAGACGAGGATAGAGCAGATGTTGCTCAGGAGGTCTTCAGTAAATATTTAAGCAAAGATGTAAGTTTTCTGAATTTGGAATATATAAATAAATATTTTTAAAATTTTCCGATAAACATTCTTTAACTTCTCTTTAGTCCAGTGAATTCGTAGATGTTGTTAATGAAGATCTGATAGAAAGATGTCATGCAAATCTCCAAACGGCCAGCAGAGATTTGTTTACTGAGTGTGCAAGGTAACTATTGTTAAGGACTCGTAAAGTAATTTTTAAAATCAAAAATATATTATACTTTTGAAAAATTTTCTCATCTCTTCTGCTAATAACTGCTTTAATTGCATTTAGGGCTGTCAAAGAGTTCTTGTCTCGGGAGCCATTTAAAGAGTTTGAAAACAGCATGTACTTTCATAGATACTTGCAGTGGAAATGGCTAGAGAGGTAATTCTTTTAAAAGTTCGGAATTTTTAATCCTCTGAAAGAGGATGTATTAAAAGTAAATCATGATTTCAGGCATTCTGTCTTGAGAATTTTTCATATGTCACAAAGTTTCCTGTATTCAGTATTATTTGGAGTTCAAAATATTTTATGAGCTATATTTTTTTTAGATGCAAAAACAGAGTCATAGCTAGGGTTTTCAGGGACAACTGAAAATTTCGTGCCCCCTACTGCTTGCCAAGGATGGAAAACATTTAATTCTAAAATGTCGTAACATCAGTTTGGCGCCCCTTGGAATGTGCGCCTGGGGACAGATGCCCCCTTGCTCCCTCTAGCTACGCCCCTGTGCAAAAATGAATTTTAAGCATGCTTGGGATATTTGTGCGTGGTCACAGCGTCTTGACATTTCAATTCTTTGAGCAAACCCGAATAATTTATGTTATTACATGAATAAAACTTAAATGTAATCCTTGAATCAACTTGATTGCTTGACTAATGAAGAAAATACTAACTTGCATATGGTGAATATGCATAAAAAATCTTAGAGCCATTTTGTACTTCTAGTAGTATACTGTTGAATAATAGTTCATAATGTTTAAGATTTTAAGGAGCTAATAACATTTTATAAGCTTGTGTAAAAGAAACTTTTGTAATAGGTTGGCTGTGTTAACTCATACAGCTGTTGCTTAGTAATTATGGGTAAAATTACTGATTTGAATTCCACTGTTTAAATTTTATTCATATTTATACTTTTTTTAATATTACAGGGTGTCCCGTAAATGTTGCAACAAAATTCTGGGGGAGGTAGAGTACATCATAAGGACTAAGAATAGCATGGGAACCCATGCTCGGAAATGTCGGGGGTAAGTGGTAGTAGAGGTGGAAGAGGGGAAAGGAAACAAGGCAATGATTAATTTGAAGCATTTATTGGACATGAATACAGATGCTGTATAATAGCTTGAATGTTACAACAGATGCTTGAAGTTTGCACCATCAGATGCCAAACATGCCTGACACCGACAGACCATTGATTACCGGACATGTTTTCAAACTCACCAGGTGTTTCTTTAGTTGTAGCAGCTGCGCAGGCGAGTCTTGCCACCAGATCCATTTCAGACACAACAGGATCGTGAGACATGACACTTTTGATGGCTCCCCACAAAAAGAAATTGAGGTGTGATAAATCTGATGAGCGTGGTGACCAGGCAACCAGTCCACCACGCCCAATCCATCTATGTGGGAATGATCTGTACAAATAACTACTTACATCCAATCCAAAATGAGCAGGCACCCCATCATGTTAGAGCCACATGTTGCAACTCGCATTTGGTGGAACATCTGGTGGATTGTCAGGCAAGCTGAGAAGAACCTGTTGCAGAAAGATCAGATAATTCGTGCTTGAGCCCATAAATGCTGATTGTGGTAATTAAATACATTATCCCTATTGAATGTGGCCTCATCTGTGAACAACACATAGACTCCAACTACTACGGATTCTCCATAGTTTCTACGGAAATTCATGAAAAACTACGAGCTACGAAAAGTATGGGAATAACTACGGATTTTACAGAAACAAGAGCAGGAGAACCAGTACGCAAAACGGAACCAACTAATTCATCCGATGATTGGCTGAATACTCATGTTATCATATATCACGTGTTGAGAGCGTTCCTAGTTTTGAAGAATTAGCCAATCGTAGATCAGTAACTCCAACCGTTAACGACTTATCAATAGTTCCACCCAATTGTCTGTCTCCCAGGTTCCTCGCTGATGCGTGTTTAGGCTGCATTCGGCTGCATTGTGTAGTTTACGTCGAGAGCTTAGCATGTGTCTTGTGAACTGTGAATCAGGTGAAAGATTTTTTTATCATAATAATGCTGCCTCGAACGAAGGAAGCCAAAATTATCAAAGCAGAAGTTTAAAGATTCATATTCTTCAGAATTTCCATGCATTAAAGCGTCCGAAATTTCTGTGAATCACGCGCACTGCAGTGTATGCAACAAAGACTTCTCAGTTGCTCATGGCGGAAAAGATGACTGTAAACGGCATGTGTTTTCTCAAAAGCATATAGAACTTGGCACCGTAAAATCTAAAGAAATAACAAATTTCTTAATAAAAGATGATGAAACAGATCCTATAAAAGCCAAATGCTATTTTGTTCGTTTTTTTAATTGAACATAATCTACCGCTTTCTGTTTCGGATCATTCCAAAGAGCTTTTCAAAGCAATGTTTCCGGATTCTGCCATAGCAAAAAATTTAGCTGCGGTCATACCAAACTGCTGCTATTGTGAAAACGCTTGCAGAAAATACTGTTGCTGATATTATAAAATCAGTGTGCAGTACACATCATTTTCTCTAAGTACTGATGGAAGTAATGATAACAATGATAACAAACTACCCATTGGTTATAACATACTACAGTAAAGAAAAGGGAGTGATAATTACTTCATTGATTTCTATTTTAGAATGCATGAATAATACAGGAGAAGGTATTTTTAATTGTATAAATGAAAACTTTAAAAACAAAGGTTTAGAATGGAAAAAATTGCTTATCATTTTCTTCAGATAATGCTAGTAATATGATTGGAAAGTTTAAAGGTGTAGCATCATTTATCAAAATGCATCAACCAAGTATAATAATCACCGAGGGTTGTCCGTGCCACCTCTTGCATATAGCTGCAAAAAAAGCTACTGAAAAATTAATTGGCTCAGAAATTGAAATGTTGATAATAGATATATATTTTTACTTGGAGAAAAGTTCGAAACGGAAGCATAGCTTCAAAGTTGCTCAACAAATTTTGGGACAGAATGCAAAATCTCATAAAATTTTGAAATATTGCAGTACGAGATGGTTGTCTCTTTTAGAATCTATAACAAGGATTTTGGAACAGTGGGATGCTGTGATTTTTTTTTTGAGATAAACCAGATAACAGTGAGAATGAAGGAAAGAGATTGCAAAACATTAAAAAAATTTTACAGTCACCGACCACCAAATTGTACTTGTTATTTTTGAAAAATACTTTGCCTTTGTTTATAACAGTAAATATTAATTTGCAACAACAAGCTCCTTATATACATAAATTGAGAAGAGAACTTTCTGAACTTTTAATGAATTTATTTGTTAGATTCGTAAAACCATCAGTAATTTCTAAAGAAAATGAAGATGTTACTCTAATGTCTATTCCATTTCAGAAGTATAGTAAACAAAAAGAAAATGAAAATTTAGTGATTGGTGCGGAAACAAAACTATGTTTAAAAAATGCCAAGTTGAATGAAAGTGAAGTGAAAACATTTTTCAATTCTGTGCGAGCTTTTTTTGTAACTGCATGTTCATATATAATTGATAAATTTCCACTGAGTGATCCATTTTAAAACATGCTGAAGTTGCTGACATCAACTTGAGAACTGAAGTCTCATTTTCATCTGTTCTTTACTTGATGAATACTTTCCATCCATTATTGATGAAAAATGTCTTAATCAAGTAGAAATTGAATTTTCCATGTATCAAGTAGATGATTTGAAAGAAATTGTAGATTTGCATATTGATATAGCATGGGGAGAAATTGCCAAATTAAAAAATATGAATGGGTGTATTAAATACAAAGTATTGCCTTCTGTAATGCTTGCTGTCTTAATAATACCTCATTCAAATGCAGCTTGCGAAAGAATTTTTTCTATTGTTAAAAAAAATCAGACGGAATTTCGACCAAATTTAGGTCTTAAAACTCTTGAAGCAGTTTTGATTGAAAAATAAATATGCAGGCAAATGAAGAACTGTGTTATAAAAAAAAACATTCTCAAAATCAGAACTTAAGCTTGCTAAGCATGCTACATATAAATCTTTGCATTCATAAATTATGCGTATTTTGTTTAATACTTATATGTATCATTCTTGGTTATTTAAATTTTATTTCCCTGTAGAAATCATATCCAGAATAAAGATATGATTTATAGCTTCTGATTTTTTCTATGATTAGTAGTGATTTGAAGTACTTTTTATTAGTGAATGCTTGAGAAGTTAAAAGAAAATTTCTAATTAAATGTGCATATAATTTACAAGGTATATTTTTAATTATTCAGTTTTATATGTATATGGATTTTAAATGTAATAAAAATTGATTACAAATTAATTATTAATTTTAAATTAATGAATGGTTAATTACAACATACGCTACGCGCACATTTTCAAAGTTGTAAAAATGTCGTTCGCGCGTTGACTACTGACAAGGTTTGCTGAAGGTTGGAGTCTATGACAACACATGAGTTGGGAAATTAACTTCACGGGCACATTTTTTCAGAACCACTGTGTGAAATGCATATGTTCAGGATGGTCATTGGGGAGCAGTAACTGAACCCTTTGGAGAAGAAAGGCGTGTAAGGACTCTGCATTCAAGACATGCTGGACACTGGTATGAGATATTCTTAATTGAGAGGCAGTGGCACGTATGTTGGTCCTTGGATTACCTTCCACCATATTCCATTACTCTCAGGTATTCCATATACAAAGGATGATCAAATGAAAAGGTACGAAATGACACGGTGGGTACAAATGTAGACTTTATTCAAAATATACACCATAGGCCCGAGCACAATGATCCCACTGATGAACAAGCCGCAGGATTCCTTGTTCCCAGAATTCCTGTCGCTGTTACGAAACCCAGTCCTTCACTGAGTCCTTGAATATGTCGTCCGAGTTGAAGCGCTTCCCTTTCAGGTGTTTCTTCAGGGGACATAACACATGGAAATAGCAGGGTGACATGTCCGGACTGTAGGGAAGATGGTCCAAAGTCTCCCACTTTAACTTGGCTAGTTCCACGTGTGTGACTCTGGAGACGCGTGGACGTGTTATCATGGAGCAAAACCACACCCTCCATGAGCAGCCCCGGTCTTTTGTTCTTGATGGACCTACGTAGGCGTCGAAGTGTCTCACAGTCTACATCGGAGTTAATGGTTTTTCTGTGCTCCAGGAATTTCACAAGTAGCGGACCTTGAACGTCAAAAATGACAGTAAGCAACACCTTACCTGCTGAACTTTTTAGGGGAAGGTGACGACGCATGCTTCCACTGTATGCTGTCCCGCTTTGTCTCTGGCTCATAGTGATGGCACCAGGTTTCATCACCTGTGACGATCTGCTCCATGAAAGCGGGGTCTTCCTGATTACCGAAACAAATGTTGCAGTGATGCACAGTTCCTTTTGCTGGTCGGTGAGCTGCTTCGGAACCCAAGCGGCACACACCTTCCGATATCGCAACCTGTCATGAACAATTGTCCACATGGTTCCATAGCTGACATCCACCTTCACCATTCGCAATGTCACATTTGTCACATCCGCAATATGACACTCCAATCACTTCTCACTGGGTCGTCCACCTTGTCAAAATCACTCATAATGACAGTGTTTGCCTGGCTTGGTCTCGGATCATCACCATCACTCTCAAAATGGGCACTCCATTTCCTGACAGAGTTGTCAGAGACACATTTCTCCCCGTAAACTGTCACCATCCAACGATGAATAGCTGCCGGTTTCTCACCTTCCGCTGTCAGAAATCAGATAACATCTCGCTGCTCCTCAGTCGTCGAATTTTGCAACGCGAAACGCCATCCTGTCCTCATATGGACTGCCACATCATTTGGACGCCACTATTGATAAGAGCTCTGCTTTCTCCTGTGCATGCGGGCGGCCATGTATGCTCCGATCCCAGTCAGAGATTCGAATCACATCCCAAGATGTCATGCTACGTTCTTCCATGGCAGAATATGCAAATATTTAACTGTTACGTTTTTACGTCGTTTCGTACCTTTTCATTTGATCACCTCTTGTACTAAGTGCATGTCTGCAAGCTCTCCATTCGTATATTGTTCCATGCTGTTCGTATGGTGCTTACCGCACGAATGATGCAATCATCACTTTCCACTAGCACTTTCTTGTACAGCAACCCCTGGCGGCGTACAGTAACGTTTCTAGGCATGGGTTCCATATGCAATTCTTAATCCTTATGATGTGCCCTACCTCCTCCAGAGGTTCGTCGCAACATTTATGGAACACCCTGTATACTATCAAAGTCCATTATAACAAACCCCTAGGTAAAATGAATGAACCTTTTGTGCCTGCACAATTTCTAGTAACTTAGTGTTATTTTATTCTGCCTAAGCAACCTTTCATAGGTATGAAAATCTGATGTAAAAAACTGCATGGGTATCTTTGATTGAACCTTTTTTTCCAGATTTTTTTGAATGTTTTAAGAAAAAATTACGAACCCTTAAAATATTTGATGTTTAGGATGTTGAAATTCTCATTTATCATTCTATATAGAAGGGAAAGTATCTTTAAAATCCTTTTCTTAATTATTATGTTTTTTCATCATGTAATATTATAATTTTTTAATGGTATCAAAATAGTCATAGACAAACATGATCACAGTAAGCAGTTCTAGTGTATCTTGTTGAAAGTACTATTGATTTTTTTTTATTTCTCATATTCTACTGATTTTTTTTGTGGGAGGAGGTTATTCTTATTTAAATATCAGGTATGTCAGAAAGTAATGAAGGATCAAGACAAGCAGCTTCAAATAAAAGAAGATGTTGTTGATTTAATTATTAATATAAAATATTTTTTATTCTATGACTTCTGCCCATCTTTTGAGCAGCTTTTTAATACCATTTGTGAAGAATTTATTTGGCTTTGCGACAAAATATTCATTTATTACATTTTCAACTTCCTGTTTACTTTGAAAGTTTTCGCCAACAAGAAAAGCTGCATTGACCTGAGCAGGTTAGCTCATTATCTGTGATTCTGGATGAACAAGAATTTCTCATCTTCTTGCAAAATTTTTTTTTTTTTTTTTTTTTTTTTTGGTGGAGGTGGCTGTGTGTCATATAGCATTATCTCACTGAAGGATAACATCAAGTCTGTTGATCAATGCAGATCTTTTGGTGATTAAAGAACATTTTAGCTATCTAACTGGCAATCGTACGTCTTCTCATTAGTTTGGTCGTTTTCCAAAAATTAAAAATAAGCTATTCTTTTTACATATCACCTGATGCAGAACATTTTCTGTTGATGTTCTAGCTTTTTTGTGAAACTTCTTTTAACTTCAGTCATTGTGTTTTTCAAGTAACTTCAGTACAAAGAATGCATGTCTCATCTTCTGTTATAGCGTGTCTTAAGAAAGCCCCCATTTCATTTCTTATGAACACAGCATTACACATCAATACTCGCTGCTAGCAGTTTTCAGTTGTGAGTTTGTGAGAAACACAAACAGCAGCATGTGAAACACTTCTTATTTATGTGGTCTATTCCTGTTGACTGTGCATAGTGTGGCTGTCAGCTGTTTACCTACTGGTAGTACATGCATTTAACTCTGTCAGTATATTATCTTCCATTTCTTTTAAACAATCTTGAGCTGATCCGCAAGATAAATATTATCTCTTTGGAATTTCTTAAACAGCTCTTGGTATTGAATTTACAGCTACCATATTCGTATAATAATTAATGTTGCATATGTAATTCTTAAAACTTCTGTGTATGTATTTCTTAAATCCTTACTTGAGATTTAATTTTAAGACTAAGTATAAACTATTTAAATGAATAGCATTTCTTGAATTCTCTTTTAATGGTTGAAATTTAAGGAAAGAAATCTGTTCCCCTCTGAAACCTTTATATTTAAAATTAAGGTGCAAAGTGTTTTTGACGTAATGAGTATGTTAATTTGTTTACTAATTTTAATATTTGGATTTCCTGGGGTGTATTAAAATGCAGTGTATTGTCTTTAAGATGTATAAGATACTATGTAAGATATGTGCATTATTCTTTAATATGTAAGATATAAAATTATGAAGAAAACTTGTTAACAAATAAAAACTTCATTGGAACAAACTGACGATATACCTTTAAATTACTAATTTTCAATTAAAGCACAACCTCTTCAAGGCATCTGCAATTTCCGTGCAGTATCTGCATTGCTGTAAACTTTTGCCTAGTTACTGCTCAGGATTAAAACAAAGACTTTCTGATCTTAAAATGGTACGGCAACTGACTACACATCCTCTATTGCAACTTTGCTTTCCTGCTGGCAACATGTTGCTTAACCTTTGTTAGCTATTTACTGCTGTTTGAGATGTATTTACATATCTGAAAATGTAGGACACTTTTAACGTTTCTATTGCTCTCCCTATTAAAAGGATAATGTGTTAAGGAACTCATCATTGAGAAATAAATAATGTGTGAATACCAAGCTGGTCATGCTTCTTCCAATATTCCATCTGGTCATTCACTACACCGCAGTATCCTGTCACCTACGCAGCAGTTTTGTCGGACGTTATTAAAAAGGGAATTGGTGCATTCAGTAATTGAGCTTTCATCTAATATAAAGTTATCTACAACAACTTCTGTAAGATAAAAAATATATAAATATGAATTATGCATTAAATTAGTAATAGCCCATTAATTCCTATATTTCATTTGGGCACATCTCCCTATGTGTTCTAAGAATAGCAATACCTTTTACAAATCTGCATCATATCTGAAAACTAATTCTGCATTATGTCATCTTAACCTTCTGCACTGCATGTCATTCTAAGCGAATCATATTAAAGAAAAATTTTGCTATAAGGATAGCTGCAGTTCAAGTATGCTGTCTCTTGCTCTTCTTTCCTGCTGTACTTTGCATATGCTTCTGGGTTCTTCTTTGTGTGAAGATGTGCTAAATTTTGAAAATTGTGGGGTGCATACTGCATCCACAATTCTATGTGAAGCAAATAATATGTCTCTCAAAAGGCCTTATCCAATAATCAAATAATGTTGAATTCAGCCACATCTGTCTGCAAAGTCTGTTATTTCCATCTACACAGCTCTGTCAATCTCTGTATTTAGTATGGGAAATGACAAGTCATCTACATCGTCGAATCATTACACACACATATATGTATGTAAGATAAAATATGATGGCTGCTTTAAGAAATTATTGGCAACCTCAAAATTAACTATTCTAAATTTGATGTTCTCCCCCATAAGTTCATCTGTTCTCCCAAACTCGAGATCTTTCCATGTTACATAACAACCTAAAATTAACCAATCACAGATTAACTGTACTTATGCATCATACTTAGTGAAATACTCTTTGCAAGCAACTACGTCATTCCTTTTCCTAGCTTCCGCCATGCCAACACGCTGCTTTGCTTCTCAGTCTAAGATGCCTACGTCTAACTTTTAAAATCAGTGTAAATAAAAAGTATTGTATTTAACTATGATTGGATAAATGTCTACCAAGATGGTTTGATATGTGTGAAAATAGAGATTGTGATACTTCAAGCTCAGTTGTATTAACTGCATCATCATACCTTTTCCCTCAGCCACTACTGTCTTCTCAGCAGTGACGAATATCAAAAGCTGCTAAAAAGTACCTGATTCCTCCTACGCAATTAAAATGCTAAATATATATAATTTTGAAAGATGTAATAAAAGTGTCAATATTTAAATACAGCATATTTTTCTTTCTTGTAATTTAAATTTCTAAAAGCAGATTTTTAATTGCAGCCAGCCAGTGACAGCAAAAACCTTCCGAATGTACCGTGTCTTAGGAAAGGGTGGTTTCGGTGAGGTCTGTGCTTGTCAGGTGAGAGCTACAGGAAAGATGTATGCATGCAAGAAATTGGAAAAAAAAAGAATAAAAAAAAGAAAAGGAGAATCTATGGTTTTGATAGAAAAGAATATACTCCAGAAAATAAACTCAAGATTTGTTGTATGTATTATTTTAATTTAAATGAATTTATTTTGTTCTTTTGTAGATATGCCAGTTATATTAGACTTTCTTTAAATTATGTAAGATTTTTCAAACTGTTTTTAATTTTGTTAGAATTTCTTTTTTTGAACATTGTGCAGTAAATGCATATTATAATTGTATTAAACGGTTGTAACTTTATAAGGCACTATTATATTCGAGAATAAAATCAAGATGACATGTGATTCTTTTTCATGCATGTCTAATTTTAAATATGAAATTCAGTTATTGTTACTAACCAATGGCAAAATAGCTCAAGCTGCAAAACACTTAGTTTATCCTGATTTCTCTTCTTTGAAGTTGAATGGGTTATGTTTCTCTTCTTTGAAGTTGAATGGGTTATCCGTTTTAGGTTTTATTTCATCATCTGCAATAATTTTCTGGTAGAAAATCGCTCAACATTGGATGATTAAGTGAGACCACTAAACACTGTGTATTCATCTATGTTATAGTATAGTCTGGCCTTATTTCATTGTCATTGTTTTTCCCCATCTGGAGTGTAAATGCGAACCACTTTCCTTTTGAAGTCCAGTAGAAACATCCTTGCTGTGACAGACAGACCTTGCCTGTTTTACAATAATCAATTAAGCAGCCTTTAGAAAGTCTTATATATAATAAAAGTGTTGCTCCCTGTAAACAACTGTTTTGGTTGTTATAATAAAACAATCAAATCTAATCAAATTATAACTTTTCTTCATATTTATAAAATGAAGTTTTGCCTTTCTTAAGCCAAAGAAATGAAGTAATTAAAAATAAAAACATTAATTAAGTTGGAATTAAGCTGTTAAAAAATTGTAACAAGTGATTAAGAAGGTCAGAAACAGATCAGAAAATGTTAAGAGGTCAGTGGGTAAAATGTGTTTACTTTTCCAAACAAAACGTTGATTTCCATCTTTTTCCCCCCTTGGTCTTTTGTTGCTCTTTCAGGCATGCTTTTTGTATTTCAATAAAAATGTCCCCCCTTTTTTCTGAGCATTTTCCTTCCATTAGATCAGTTGATTAAGGAAAAGCAAGGGCTATCTGCATATGGGGAAAGATGTCTTCATGGGGAATTCTTAATAGGAAACTGTCTCACATTCATATTATGTATGGGAAAAACGCCCATATAAGTTGTTCATCAGGATTTGAACTTAAGTTGAATATCAATTTTCAATGTTTTTAGTGCTTCACTGTTGGTAGGCCTTCTCCCTGAGTTAAATATTCATTTTGCAACTAAATGCTGTAAAGCATGCATAAAGAAATTTATTTTACAACCTTATTTTAATTTTAAAAGTTCTTTAATTTTTACCTTGATGTTATAATCATGCTTTAGTTTCTTTAAAAATTCATAATTAATTAGCATTGTTAAAATATAAACATTTTGAAGACATTTGTTATTGTAGAGTATCTAAAACATCCTGACCAGCAGTGATTTTTTTATTGCATAAATATTAATAACTTTACCAAGTTGGAATTGCTCCACAAATATTTGTTGTCATATGGTAAAATTTCAACATGTATATTTTTAACATGCTGCCCAGCTGATACAGTGGTTAGTGACTGCTATAACAATAGGCCTGGGTTTGAATCCCTCAGAAGGCATGGTTGTAAAGTTCTGCTCTTCATAGAAGGCAACAGTGGCCACCTAATAGGTGCTTTCATAATGAAATGGCCACCACTTTGGCCTTTGTAGTGGCATTTAAATCTAATGGCTATTAAATAAAGTGCTTGGCCATTAAAAGAATTATTTTTAATATCTGTAGTAATAGGATTAAATATTGGCTTTGCGTTATATCATTTTCTCAGATCAATAAAAATAATCAGTTTTCATTCATAAAAAGCATTTTAAAGTCATTTGAGACCTATTATGTCCAAATTTTTATTAAAGTAATGCTGGATCGTGTTTGAAAGCTATCTAGTTAATGCTGATTCAGTACAGTATGTTTAAATTTTAAAGCCAGAGTTCTAACATTGCAATGACTTATAGTGAAGTTATACTCAAGCTGTCAGAAGTAACAACATTTAATTCTTGAAAACTGCTGAAGAATCTTGGTAGTAAGCTATTTGAACTTTAGAATAAATGGTTTTGATAGATTGAAATGTTCTTGCTTTCAGGTAGGGTGACAATTCTTATTCAGTTGTTCTTATCTTTATTCATGATGCAGAGCTTTACAATAATTAAAAAAATATCAGTTTTATCAATACGTTATTATGTATATGCAGTAAGACCCTTGTAAGATGACCACTATGATTCTAGGCAATTTCGAGCTTTGGTAAATGTAGGTATTTTAACCCCTTCGTGCCGACTGTCACGTATACATGCCAGCAACGAACACACTTATCTACCGGCCGACACGCAGGCGTGCCAGAGCATTGTTGCGTTCTCTCCCGACTGTCACGTATTTGTGCCAGTACCTTGGAACGTTTTTCAAACTATGATTTCTGCCACAAGATGGCACTGTATGTCCATATGGTTTCAGATACATGTACATTAGACCTTCTACTCGAAATGAGAGAAGCATGACTCACATACACGTGTTTTTGATTATATAAACAAACGGGGAACTAAATGTTTCCGAATGGCGTGATTTATGACGTCTCTTTAAATCGCACTTTATTCGCACGTGGTAGTTGTTTATTGTAAGTAGAAGTTTTTATATGCGCTAAGTGTTGAGTATTTCCGTTTATAGTTCAGTTTTTAGAAAATAATTAGATCTTGTTAGACGTGAATTCTTTCTGTTTTTACCGTTTCAATGTCGAAGCGTCGAAAATGTTAAACAGAGCATGAAATAGCAGAAATGATGCAAAATATTTCAGATATTGATTCTGAACTTCTGATATTCTGATATTAATTCTGAAAGATTAACTGAAAGACATTTTCTAAAACTTTGTTCAGAAGAGACTGATAAGAAAATGAGACGACGATGCTTCGCTTGTTCACATTCCCGGAAAAATCCTCCAAAACGGCAAATGAGTTATTACGAGTTCAAGGAATGTAACGTAGGACTGTGTGTAGATCCCTGTTTTAAAATTTTTCATACGAAAAGAGAATTTTAAGTAATATATTTAATTTTCAGATGTATAATGTTAAAAGTCATAAAATGGTGAGTAATTAAAATAAAATGTGTAAAATATGCATTTAAACAAGAAACAAGGTAATTAAAGTATATAAAAATCTATAAAGCATAAGCCGTTTAAATACTCTATAGAGCATTATTAAACAATGCGTTGATACTTCGGAAATTTCATGGATTTAGGCTTAGTAGCAAAAAATTCCCCGGCCCTGGAGAGACACTCGTGGAAGACACTGCCGGCCTCCGCGATAAGCGCGCGTTTTCGCTACCCGGTTCGAAGGGGTTAAGAATACTGATCACTTTCAAATTTGCAGACAACAAATGTGTTCAATGTATATGATTTTTCAATGTTACTTTTAAAAATTAATATGAACATAAATATTTTATTCCTGTTCATATGTTTGCTCATATGATTGCCCAAATTACTTTGAAAAAAATTTTATGAAAGTAAACCTTGTTTATTCCTAGTTTTGTTTTTATTTGTCTGTATTTACTCTGTTAAAAGTACACTTTTAATGCTTTGCTTTCTCAAAATCTGTCCTAAACACTACTGGTATGTTTTAGAAGTTTAGTTTTAATATAAGAGTATTATCGTGTTTTATCTATTCTTATTTCTTTTTGTCATTTATGCAAATGTCTTACCAGTATAATGGTGGATTATTCCCCCACAATAAGTGCTTAAGCAATCTTTGTTTATGTATGTATTTCCATGCATGTCATTGTCCAGAGGGGGGGGGAAGATTTTAGTATTTCTAGCATGCAAATAAGAAATTCTCTTCTATTCTCTGACAAAATTAAAAGTGTATTGTTTGTTATATGTTTATTTTCATCCAGTTCTGATATATTTTCTGAAATTTAAGATACATTTTTTTGTGGTACCTATTTTCAAGAGAGATAAAAAGTGTCCTGTGTGTAATAATATTGCGATTATTGCTGTGCAAGACAGACCATGGCTAGCCATTTTTCTTTCAAAAATTGATCATGTTTTGGAAAGGCTTTGAAATCAACTACATTTTTTTATAAAATTCATTTTATATTTTATAAATAGTATGTTTTTGTGAATTTTTGTTCAATGTTAAAATTTAATTAAATTTTGAACAATTTTAAACAGGTCAGTCTAGCCTATGCATATGAAACAAAAGATGCTCTTTGCCTTGTGCTCACAATAATGAATGGTGGTGACCTGAAGTTTCATATTTATAACATGGGGGGAGAACCTGGATTTGATTTGGAACGTGCAAGGTTTTATGCAGCTGAAGTTACTCAAGGCTTAGAACATTTACATGCTCAAGGAATAGTATACAGGTTTTGTAATTTAATTTCTTATGTATCATATTTTATTACTGAATATTTTAATTAATTAATGTTGTATTTATGTAAATAATTTCATTTGCATTTTCTGCTAAGTGTGGGAAAGTCGAACAATGTGAACAAATATGTAAATGCATACTAGAAATAAATTTCTTTTTTTAAATTATACCATTTGTTACAATATAGCGTAAAGTTAAAAAATGTTTAAAGCAGCTCTTTGCCCTTCCTTATTTTCTAAAATCTTATTTTATATGCAGTGTTATTTCTGTTCTGTCTCCATTTAATTGTGTTCAATAGTATGCATTCATTAGTCACCTCTTTGTGCCCAAGTAAAAGTGTTACACTAAAATTGAATGCTACTGTTGTTAATTTCTCTTCATGTATTGTTCATTATACTTTTAGGGACTTGAAGCCAGAGAATATTTTACTGGATGATCATGGTATGTTCCATTTTAAAAAAAGTTGTTATTCTTAATTGAGTTATTTTGCATCTGAAAATATATTAGTGTAAAATTAACTGAAAGGGAACAGAAATTTGAATTCTGTAATGCTTTATAATTTTTCAGTGTCATATTTAATGACGTACTTTTATATTTCTTAATTCTATTGTTTGTATTTGCTTTAAATTTATAATTTAATTATGATATTTATTTTTATATGTAAGGACATGTTAGGATATCTGATCTGGGCTTAGCAACAGAAATTTTAGAAGGTGAAATGGTAAGAGGGCGAGTTGGAACTGTTGGATATATGGGTGAGATTTTTGTATTTATATGTGTGTGTGTGTGTGCATTTTATTACTAATGAAGTACTGGAATCTTCCATATATATTATATTTGTGTTCTTGCATATTAAATACTACACACACAATACCAGGTCTAAAATCTGGATGTCGAATTATTGGAATGATCTAATACTTAGACCTCCTGATCACCAGTGGGTTTTTTTTTTTTTTTTTTTTTTTTTTTTTAAGAAATGTTTTGTAAAAAGGGAGAGAGATCTAAATTCTGAGAGTAGCTCTTTTGCTTAATGCTTCACTTATGTGTAAAAGACTTTTTTTTTCATTATAAAGCATGTGGAGGGTCCTGAAGCTTAATTTCACTTTGGTATTACATAAAACACCTTGTTGAAGAAACGATTATCTTGGTATTACATAAAACACCTTGTTGAAGAAACGATTATCAGCATATATCCATATGATTAATTTGGCTGTAGCCACCTTATTGCTTGGCGTATATCTCAAGCCTAAACACTTTATCAGAGTCTTTTGCTGATTTTACACCTTCTGAGTATCATATCACCCTTTATACCAACCTAGCAAATAATTCTTATTATTTTTCACTTTCATAACCATATAACTCACCTTATGGCAGCTTGAGAAATGACAGTGATGTGTAAAGCAATTCTTGTTTTAAATGTCAGTAATTGAATACCAAGCAACATAGTAACCTTTTATGCTGACGTGACTGTTAGCAGCAATTACAGACATCAGCCAACTGCATTGCGAAGTTTTAAATGTGTCAATAGAAGTTTCTAAAAATGGATTTTGTAAATCATATTCATATCATTTACAAAATCTATTTAGTGCTATTTAAATTAACTGATTTTTCTTTTGATAAGCCCTAAGCATACTTTTCCATTACGTACCTGCCATGCTATTTGGGTATGTGTGTATTTGCCATCTATAAATTATTCTTATAAGAAGAAATTGTTATATATAATTTAAAGTTAAGTAGTAAGAACAAACGAAAAAAGACCTATATGGTCAAAAATTTTGCGCATTGTGCTGCAAAATTAAGAAAATTAGAAGATAAATTTTAGTACACAAAGTTACCAAAAACTGTGGCTCCATGAAAACTTCAACATAAGCATATTTAGTTGTTATGAAATGTTGGGTGAGAAAAGAGAAATATACATTTGAATATTTACAAGTAAAATTAATAAAAGTAGTAAGCTATATGCTAAACGAATTAAGTAGATTTAAAACACAGTAAAAAACTAATCAATTGATCGTGGTAAAAATAAAAATAGTAAGCTATATGCTAAACGTATTAACTACATTTAAAACACAGTAAAATACTAATCAATTGATCAAGATAAAAATAAAAGTAAAAATTAAGAAGTGGTAAATGGTTAATTAGCCCAATTCGAAGTTCATTTTGGCTCGTTAAGGGAAATTTTTTTAAATGAATTTCAAACTAAGCTAACTCCAATATATGAGGGATTAATATATTTCAGGCTTAACTTGCTGAGTTTGTGATAGGAGCAAGACAGATTTTAGCAGTCTCTAGTTAATTGACAACGTCTTGTGATACATTGCCAATAGTGTATAGCCGATGCTCACTAAGCTTTATAATGATAGCTCTGAATTTGAAGGTTTTCAGATATCGCAAACATAAAGTAAAATTTTCTATTTAATGTAATTGGGGGAGAAATGGTAATAAATGAAAGTGATGTAATAGAAATACTCCGTTGCAATAACAGTGCCCCAATAATCAATGAATTAATGGATGGAGAAATCTGTTGTCTAGTTCACAATTTAAAAACTATCATTATGGATAGTGAAGGAAGTGACAGAGATATTGCTAAGAAGGAAAACATTTTGATTCACAGTTTAATTGTAATTCCTGGCATGGTAATTACCGGACTTGGGCTTTGTAACTGAACGAGAAATTATGTGACTAAAACTAAAAAGAAAGTACTAAAATGAAGCAACTTAAGCAGCTTACATTGAAGAAAATGTTGAAGAAAGCAAACAAATAAATATTGAGTTTTTTTTTCTGCTAATTTTGATTCCTTTAAGGTCATAAATGCTTAGCTATTTCATAAACAAATATTTCAAATGTTTTAATTTTACAATTTCTACATATCATTTTACTAGATCTAAACTGATGATCTAAAATCCAGAAAATTCCCAAATGCGGAATCTATGAAGCCACGATGAAGCTGGATTTCGACTTTGTGCTGTATATTTGTATTTTCACACGTTAAATATGAAATCACCCCATTGTTTACATATTATGCCATAAAAGTTATAAAATTATATCAGTTTATTTATATTGGGTCATTTTTTAAGTGTTTACAATGTCAATGTGACATGGGCATATTTTCATGAAACTGCAGCTGCTTGTTCTGAAAAGTTCTTAGTATTAATATATCTTCCTACTTTATAGTTTTAGATTCTGTTAGTTTTATAGCAACTTTGCAAATGGTCACTTTCTTAAAAGTTGGAAAAAAGTCTGATTTTCTGCTACTGTTTTGGTAGTTTTTCAGTGCCTTTGGTCCGGAAACTTCGTGGCTGCAAGTCCCAAAACAGATCAACCTCATTTCTTACGTCTTGTGCGGAATGGAAGCTACCATCAACAAGACATAGCTGCAGGTGTGAAAAAAGATACATATCCGAAGGAATGTTGTGGGGACTATATAATGGGTGTGGCAAAAGATTGCATTTGAGTCCTTACAGAGTCCATCCGGTGAATGCAAACTCATGTAGTCTTGTATTTATCTTGATGAAACATTACCTCTTTGCACCAGAACTCAGCTCAACGTTTTTCTTTGACAGCAGCATCAACACGGACTAGCATGTCTCTGTACACCTTACTGTTGAGGGTTTTACCTTTTTCTAGATACTGTTTGTGGATAATAACCATGGCAATCCCACCAGATACAAAGCATAATCTTTTTGTTAATGAAATTGCGCTTTACAATGCTGCCCACAGAGTTACCGGGTGCTGACCAATCTCCTATTCAGCCTTTGTTGAAGTATATCCACTTTTCATCACAAGTGATGATCTGGTTCAGAATTTTGTCCTCGTATTGATATTTGAGCGGATTAGTTTAGGCTCGACCACGTCTGTCCTGATCTGCGTAAGGTGGCACCTGGTGATTGAACTTGTACATCAAGTTTATGCAATGCATTGCATGACTAATGGACATGGCACTAACATCTAACACCTTACGAAGCTGTCAAGTCGTTGCATACTGATCTTTCACAAGCTCTCGCAGGTAGGCCTCATCAACATCTGTAGGCTGGCCAGAGCACTCTCCTTCTTGAATGTCATTGTCCTTATTTTTGAACTTCCGCTATCGAGCCTTCACAGTGTCATAAGATACAATATTAGTACTTGATTTGGTGATATTCTGTAGCTGACTTTTTGCAATAGAACTGGAAGTAAATGATGGTTCTAATCTGGTAGCATGATAGTTCCATTTCGGACACCTATACTTAATGATAAGGATACTTTTTTACTAATTTCACAACACAATACTCTAAAGCAAGTCTCTTTCTTTCAAAATGCCAAAAATCTTTTAACACAATAGGATTAAACATGCCAATGCAAACTGCGTGTATGATATTTGCAGTGGCAGGAAACTTTTATTAAAAACCCGACCTTGCAAATATCTACACAATGGTATCATTATGAATTATTGGAAAAGAAACATATTAGTCTGGTAATGGTCCCTTTGACAAAGAAGACTATCGGTCTGGTAACTTTCTTCTTGGCGTCTTCAGGTGCTTTTTTCCATTCTCTTTTTTAACAGAAATATTCAATATAGATTAATGCACTTAATAATGAAGTGTTACAGTTAAATTTGTTGAAGACCAAGCTGCCATGTGTACTGAAAGACTGTTAGAGAACTGTAAAATGAAATTCTGTTTTTCTATTACTGGAGTACTGAAATAAAGCTGTGAAAGATCATGTGAATCAAAAGAGATGTTTACGAAACAGGTGTGAAGGCTCATGTGTTCCTTTTCTTGAGAGCTGTTCATTTTATTTGCTTCAGGTCTCAAGAGCTCTTGTTGGTAGAATTCTGTTACTACTAGGAATGATTCACCCACTGTTCAACTACGGATTGGAATAATTAACACACATTCTTTGTGAATTTATGTATTTTTTCTTACCTCTTAAACTTATTTTGTTATTATTGCTTAAAATACATGCATTCATATTCTTAATTGCTTACATGCATTCTTATTTCTGAGTTTCTGCATATATCTTTGTTTTTTTCACTTATTTCAAGACAGTTAAGAATACATGCATTCTTTTTAGAATTTCTGTATTTATCTTTTTTTTTAAACTTTATTTAAATTTAATAAAGAGGTCTAATTATTTTCATGAAGTTTATATGTTAGGGTTGCCAGTTATTTTCAGTTTATTTTCACATCATTTATTTTGATGCCAATTGGTATCCTGTTTACAAATAAAGAATTACTCTTACATTTAATCTTGTCTTTTTTATTACTAATGAATAGTCCTTGTTTATATCATTGCTTTTTTTTTTCATGCTAAAGTAGCATCTTTCTTTCATTAATAGCACCAGAAGTAATAGACAATGAGAAATACACTTTCAGTCCTGATTGGTTTAGTCTTGGTTGCTTTATATATGAAATGATTGAAGGTCAGGTAAGAAAATAGTATATTCTTTTGTAAAGCTGTTTCTCATTGATATTTAGCCGAACTTTTATTGCTAATTTTGCTTCCTTAAGGCACCATTTCGGGCTAGGAAAGAGAAAGTTAAAAGAGAAGAAGTTGAACGGCGAGTGAAAGAAGACAAAGAAAGATATTCCTCAAAATTTAGTGATGATGCCAAGTCCTTGTGTCATGAGGTAAAACAATATTAGTTTAACTTGTGATCCTGGTTAGAGCAAAAACATACTACTCTTAAAAAACTGTGTATTGTTCCATATTTGTTTTATTATATATGAATACATTGCATATAGAGTAGCAAGTGAAGTAGATATCAATTACTGAAAAGATTTTGTTGCTTGCTTTTGAGGAATCGTAAAGAGGTTAAAATTGTAATAATCTCAAAAAACATACTTTTTAAGCTTCTGTTGAAAATGTTCTAAATCTGCAATCTTAAAAACTTAGTATTTTTAATTATATTGTCATAATTTATAATGTAATTTCATAAATAAGTATTAAAGTATTTAATTTTTGTTTTATCCCAACTTAAGAAATTTAAAAAAAAAATGTACTTTGTAAGCTTCTGTTGAAAATATTCTAAATTTGCAAGCTTATAATTATAGTGTCACAATTTATAATGTAATTTAAAAACTAAGCATTATAGTACTTAATAATTTTTGTTTTATCCCAACATAAGAAACTTTTGTTTTCTTTCTTGAAAATTATTTCGTAATAATGTAAGTTTTAATTAAAATTCAAAGACTGTATTCTAATCAGAGCTTCTCAATCTATAGAAGTTATAGAAACATACGTTCTTTCTCAAGCTATAGAAGTTATAGAAACATACAAAAATTTTACTTTCTGAGTAATTAAACTAGAGATCGTATTGTAAAATATCTCAGTATTGTTTAGTGGTTTTTTTCACTGACTTTAGTTTTTGTTACATGTTTTTTTATTTATTTTAAATTATATTTCTTTGTCCTTAAATGAGTTCATGAAACATATTGGAAAGTTACTGCAGCATTTTGCAAACTGCATCATCACAAAGTGAAAGATTCTATGTACTTTTATCCAATTAAAAGATTGTGCAGGATATAAAAAAGTTTGTGATTTTCTCCTGTAAACAAGTGTTTCCAAAGGGGGGTTATGAAACACTAGAAAGCCAAATAAAAGCTACTGAGGGTCGCATATTTTCGTTCACCCTTTTTTAATTCTTCATGCTAATTAAGGAAATAAGTATTTTTATTTGCATAAGTATTAGTCTGTGCTTTTTTTGTTGCTTGTACGCATTCAGATTTTATAATTTACTCTTGTAAATAGTACACTCTTGGAATGCAGTTCTGTAATTTCTATATCCAGTATTGTATAGGTAATACTGTTTAGGTAGCTTGCTTATTAAATTTTGCTAAAGAAAAATATTTCTTTTAGGTTTTTGAATTTTCTGTATACGTTCTTGATACTCCCAAATATATACTCTGTTTTTATTATGTTTGCTGCTATTTCATCATCATTTACAGGTAAAATGCATAAAATAGACTAGATTTTAATTCAGTATACTGTTGCATATTATTTCCTTGAAATGCTGTACAAAATAATACATATTTTACTATGTTGCTTTTTCAGTGGTAAAATTTCCCAATTTATTAAATGTTATTTTCCAAGTTCCAGAGCTATGCAGTAAAAAAAGTGGGGAAAATACATGAATTTTTCAGTTAAAAATCAGTATTTTTTATGCAATGAAAAATATTCTACATAATACATACATCTGCCTGATTAAAGACATAGATGCATGTTTTGCTTTATTATTTATATATGTATTTTATTGAGCATTCATACTTCAGCATATTCAATATTATATAGAATTAGCTCTATTCTTCTAAATTAATGAATTATTAAGAATTAAATATAGTCCCTTATTAAAATAGTAATTCTACAGATTAACAGCCCATTGTTGAAAAGATTTTCTAAATGTGATGTTGAAATGTATTGCATTTTAAGTATTAAATGTAAATTATAGACACAATTAATTTGTTTATTCAATCAGTTTTCTTCTCACTGGCAAAATATAATTTTCTTCCATTCAAGCTGCTGAAAAAGTCTGTGAAAGAAAGGTTAGGTTGTAATAATGGAAGATACGGATCACTGAAAGTGAAGGCTCACCCATTCTTCAAATCTATCAACTGGAAAAGGCTGGAAGCTGGAATACTTCAACCTCCTTTTGTGCCTGATGTTAGTCAATTATTTGAGAAATCAAGTATATTTATTTTAATATTTAAGAAACATTAACTTTTTTAGCATTTCATCGAGACAGTAAAAAACTTACAATATATATCATGACTGAAAGTCCTTGTGTGCCCTGTATTTTTGCAACTATTTATAGACATATACCCCAAACACAAAAAATACTTTTAATTGACACAAATATTCATGTTATGACTTTTTAAACTTAAAAGACAATTTTATGACATTTAAAATATCTAACTTATTAAGTGTAATGTTTTATAACTCCCCTCCCCAACTGCAATGAATATTATTAGCAAAAAAGTTTATACTCATTATAAGAAATCAATTGAATTGCATGATCCATATGCTGACAATTGACAGAAACATTTAATTTTAAAATTTGAGATCATGCGTAGGTATTCTGCACAAATTGAAGATATATGCATTAAATATAAATTAAAATATATGCATTTTTTCATAATTATGCATTAAATATTAGCTTTGAAAAAAGTTTTGAATGCTAATGCATTAAGTGATGAGCAGTACTGTGCAGACTGTCATGAAGAATTTTTTATCAGTATAAATTGTTTTTAAAAGTTGGTATTTGCATTTAACCAACTCTAAACAGTATTTGTATAAATTGAAAATATTTGTAATTTAATGAAAATTTTGCATGATTATTTGAGTATGATTATAAAGGAATGAAATTGTATGAGAATATTAAAAATGTATTCTTAGAATTTAAAAACTTGTAAGTTTACTTATCTGAAAATTCTTTTGGCATGCTGCAGTAGTACCTCTCAATAAGGGACACCCACTGGACCAGACATTTTCTGCCTTAATTAGAGGTATCATCTCTTCAAAGGGTACATACTAAAAAATTTTAATTGAATTCGAAAATCGGGTTGTATCTCAAGCTTTAAATAAATTATATAACATAACATAGTTATGAATATTTATTTAAAGTTAATGAAAAGCATAAATTCATTATTAAAAAGTTCAACTATTGCAAAATTGTATGAAATTAACAACAGAGTTTGTACTTACAGAAATTTATTGAAAATAATCTGTTACAGGGGTTTGTTTGATAAACTGCTAATCTCAAGCTCTTTTACCCTCATAAATTTTAAAGTCACTGATAATCTTACTGTCACCAACAGTATCTTGAATTTTTTAATTGGGAAGTGCATTTGAGACATTTGTATAGTTATTTAAGTCACACTTTTTGTCGGGCTGTTCTTCATCTTCCATACATCTTTCCAAGTTATTTTTGTTAAAGCTCATATCATCAACTACAGTTTAAATAAACGATTTTATGTGATCACTAGTGTCTTTAGTACATGAGTTTTCTTTGAGTTCTAAATATTGCATTTGAGCACTGCCACTAATTTTGACAAGTTTAAACAATTCATTTTCATCAGTAGTATTTTCATTGAAAATACTTAAAACTGGAATTTCAAATTTGCTGTCTTAAAACAGTGCTGAATACAACTTCGTGATAAGGATTTAATAGTCTTTGTTGTCAACTGAATGACATTTTACTCATTTTTTTTTAAAGCTGATCACTTTTTCACAAGCAGCTTGACAAAAAAGATGACGTAAAAGCAGTTTCCTGTGATGAACCTTGAAGCTTCTAATTATACCTTAAAATGAATGCTGTAATATTTTTGTTGCATTTGTTTTGAAAAACTCCAGTTGAGTTTTACATTTGGTGGGTGGGCTGCTGAATTGTCGAGCAGCAGCAGCAGAATCTGCCTATTTTTTAGACATTGTATCTTCAAGAGTAATCAACCATTCTGACATTTTAAGCTTTGTGTCGTGGACCAGTAAAACTTTTAGATTGATGTGGTTGAAGCATCTTGGGTTTTTTTTTTTTTTTTTTGCTTTTCCAATTACAAGTGCTTGCCCAAACTCTCCTTCTTTATTACAGAGTAGCAGAGTGAGATGTTTCTTGGTGCTTTTGCCACCAGATCACTTTTCTCCTCTGAAGCATAGACTTTTGTTAGGCAAAATTTGATAAAATAATCCAGTTTCATCTGCAAAGTAGATGTTTTTAGCCTCATATCCTTCGTAAATTTCATTTAGCATTTTATCCAGTCTGTTACATGTTGCATATCTACTGATTTTTCTTCAACGCAAATATTTTAAAAAGTGATGTTATGCTTTTGCTTAAATTAGTCTAACCAACCATTTTATGCTCTGAATTTTTGTCGTTCCGGACTTTTCGAAATTTCTTTTGCCTTTTCCCGCAGTTATACACTTGCATATTAAAGCAGGAATATTGTGTATTCTTAACAGAGCAAAATCAATTAAAAATGACCATATCAATTTCACATGCTGTAGTTTTTCTAAATTTTTGTCTTGGTATATTTGTTTGAATTAGTAAGCCATAATATTGTTACAGATTTTGTATTCAGTTCGCTATTTTTAGGTGATTTGTAATTAAAATTGTTTTATTTCTCCACGCGACGCAGCACATGACAAGTTTTAAGAGAAAGCTATTTTGAAAAAGGGAAAATACGGAAGTATGCGCATTTAATAAATAGGTATCTCATAATTTATATTTAAATTGAATAAATGCAATTGTGTGTTAGCTGTAACTGTAATTCTACTCTTTTGCTTTCCAGAAAGCTTGAGAAAATACCAGAATGTTCTTGTGCATGATTAAAAAGCTTTAAAAAGCCAGAGAAAAACATCTCATTTCAGTTGTTTTAGATAACTGTTTGTTGATTGCAGCGAATTTGCAGTGAGATCGGATTAGCTTTCTTTGCACTTTGAATTGTGTTCTTTTAACGTTTTAGTGGTTTAAAATATAACTACTGTGTGATATTGTATGAATGTCTTTGAGAGAAAATTTCAGCATTTTGTTTTATCTCTTTAGATAAGAATAAATTTTATTAACTTTTCATCAGACTAGTGCATTCAATCTATTACGAAACTGTATGCACACAACAATGTTTTTATTTTATCTCTAGCACATGACACTTTTTTTTTTGTTGTTGTTTTATTGATTTTTACTTATTCCAAATTTCTGCTCTAAATCTCTCAAGCTATGCTTTTCAGTTTTTGCCATATGAATTTCATCAACTTTTTGTTTTAATCTTAATCTCTTCTTTGAAACCAAGTTAGATAATGTGTGTAAAATTAACACTCAATTACAAAACTACATTTCTTTTGTTTCTTAATCCTAGCAAGAACTAAGAATGTTAGAAATTTTCACCTTATCCATACTGTGAGTTTCTTGACAGGTGGCCCAGTCATCTCTGCACCTTTTCTTTCCCATTGGTCTCTGTTGTGGTCTCTGTCCTTACAACTGGTTAACATGGTTCTATTCCTCCTACTGAAAACTGTAGCAAGAAAAACTAGGTTTTAAATTTTATGAATGTGAAATATCTTGTTTCCACAACAACATACTTTTCCCAACAACTTTTTCGTTCCTCTTTTCCCCACTGAGAAGCAGTTTTCAAAAGAGAGGAATTTACTTTTCATTTTATTGTTTCCTTGTCAAGCAGTTGTCTTTCACTGAGCACAAACTTAGCTTTAAAACCTCAAAGATTCCTTACAAAGAGTATTTCTCTTTTTATTTTTCCGTAGTGCTGTGTTATTTTTGAAACATTTTAAAGTTTCCCTTAATTAAGAAGTAAATATGTTAACATCCTTATTCAAGGGACCAGGACCAACTAAACTGTCCTTGAAATAGAGGTGTCCTTTACAGAAGGTATTACCATATTTTTAACAGAATTATAAATTAAACAATGTTATATAATTTGTAAATCATAAAAGAATGTTACTGAATGATATTAAAGCTGAAAAGTCGATCTGGATTTGTGCTATATTTTAGCCAACCCTTCAGAGCAAGCTGAAAAAGATATAAAAAATCCCGAATTTTAAAATTAAATATTTCATTCAATTTTTGTCACGAGAGTCAAATGTGTTTTTTGACTATATTGATTGGGCGACCGCAAAAAAAGTTAGAATCCGCAGTTTTTACATCTAGTTAAATGACTTTTTTTAAAAATTTTAAAATATGAAAAGATGAATATCTGTCATTCTAAACATTTTAGTAAGGGGTAGTATGTGCCTGTTGCCAACAGTTGTAAAAATATAGGCTGCATGAGAATTTTTGCAGATATTTTGTACAGTACACAATTATCTTTGATAGACTGTCCTTAATGTTTTCTTCCAATTGCTATTTTTGAATTATAGTTAGATAATAAGCAACATTATATTAGTCTTATTTAATTTGCTTTATGAAATTAGGTTAGTAATTTGTCCAAATTACTCCCTCATTTATCATGTAATTTAATTTTGTGATTAGCTATTTTCTCTTATAGCCTCATGCTGTGTATGCCAAAGATGTATTGGATATAGAGCAGTTTTCCACAGTAAAAGGAGTAAATTTAGATGCTAGTGATGATACATTTTATAGTAAATTTAATATGGGAAGCATTTCTATACCTTGGCAAAATGAAGTAAGTTTTTCTTTTCACTATCATATGAATTACATTTATGCTTTGCTAATGTTTCTCATAATTTTTTAATTAACAAACTAAAAAATTGCTTATTTTGTATGTTATTAGAAAGTTGTTAGACTAAGCATTTTAGATGTGACTTGGTGTTGGTCCCTAAAAGTGATACCTTGTTGCTAAAACAATCAACTTTGTTAACACAACTTATTCATAAAAACACAGAAGCTATTACGTGGCACTCAAACCTTTTTGAGCAAATGGTAAAGACAGTGTTTTGTCAGCTGCTGGTACATGCAGCTTATTGAAAAACAATGTGACGACAGCTGTGGCACGCATCTGAAACTGAGATAACCACAGTCTCCCCCCAGTGACGTAGTAATGAAACAAAAGGAGTTGATTACTAGGAATTTCAGTAAAAAAATTCCGGTAAGAGTTGTGCATTAAAACACACATGGAAATGTACATATAGAATATGATACAAGCTATACAAATGGTGATATGCAAGTAATAATGTAACATGAAATGCTAATTGAAATATATTATGATAGAAATGCAAGTTGTAATGAAATACAAATAATGAAAGGTTAGTAAAATTAGAATATTAGGTAACTTTCAAATATATGCACAAAAATAAAAAGGGGGGAACCTGTTATTCTTTACATACTGTAACTTTAATAACAAACAAGAGAAAAACATGTTACAGTGATCAGGCTTTCGGGAAAATGAATGCAGCATCCACTGCAAGTAGTTATTTGTTTTGTAACAGCATTTAAGTTTTCACTTTATTCTCTGCTAAACAAAATTACATCATCAAAGAAATGTATTGCATTTTAACCTAACAAAAATTATTTAAATATTGAGTAAAATTGTAACATATTAGTTTATTGCATTATTACAGGCTTAGTATGTAATTTAGTTAAAACTTTATTTAACTGCATATGTTTATTCTGGTGTTACAGTTCAAAGTTAATGTTTCTATCTTCAATAGGTCATATTGTAGGCTTTGGTTAAGTGTTCTGCTTTTAGTCAGTTATCTGTAGCACAACTCCCACCTTGAATTCCATGATCTCAAAGGAACTGAAATAGTAAAAGTTCAGTCTCAAGTATGTTCTCACAAATTGCTAGAACTGGTCTCACCTCGAGAACTGTTGCATGGTGCCGCCTTTGAGGGCTTATTTGAAAGATATAGTGTCTGTACTAATGGATAGTTCTAAGAAAAACCTCGTAGCAGATGAAGTAAGATACCAGACTGTGTCTTCATCTTTCAGTTCTAATGTTGTTATTTCCTGGAGAGGTGTCTGTGAACCTGACTTGGAGGCAAATAAATATTTCTTATCATCCTTCAGTAGTATGTCTCCAACATGGATAATGAAGACTTGTAACTGTCTGAGAATATACCTGAATCATTTTCAATATTTAGTTCTTTTAGTCAGTTCTCAGAAAACATTTCTCATTTGTTGATGATACTTGGCTTTGGTCAGCTCTTTTTTAGCTGTTGCATCTATAACTGGGACTTCAGATGAAAATAAATTCACGAAGAAACATCAAAGATGTCAATGATGTTGAATCTGAGTCATTTTTTGATACACATGGAATGTATTCATATAATCTCATATTGAGCATTTCAGCTAATGGCTTGTAAAATTTGCTTTATCATTCTTATCAGTCTCGCTCACCAAGCGGCAGTTGCAGGGTTAAATTTCCATCTAATTTTCTTACTAATTGCACCTAATAACAGAGTATTCCAATTGGTGTTAATAAGGTACTTGATCTGTTCTTATAAAGTTCTGTTGTCAGCCTATTTCATTAAATATATATATTCTTTCTCCAGGAATATGTCTCCAGAAAGAAGGATTTGGCAGGAATTGTATTTTTTTCTCTAACTCTCTTATGTACGAATGTTTTCCACTCTTCTTCTCTGTTAATCCATCCTGAAGGTGTAGTTTAATTACTCCAAAATGGAATAGGTAGAATTTTAAATCAGATGTAACAGCTAAAGCTAGCCTTGCTTCTATAAGACAAGAAGTTTCAAACAAGGGATTGTTGTCAGTTTAATTGGAGCTACATGATTTCTAGTATTCACTAACTGGACTTTCTGATGTTGATTCAGTTCTCACATATTCACATGCATGCATGCTGGCATTGTAAATCATTACTTATATTCAACCATCAAGGAGCATGCATCTGAGAAAAATCAAATAACTATTTTAACCAAACTCTAAACCCCTTACTTAGAATTATGTGAAGTTTATCATCACATTTTAACTTTAGAATCCTGGCTTCTTATAAAATTAATGTGTCATGAGTGCTGCAAACCCAAATGGATAATAAAAGTTTTGTGTGTGTATTGAAGAGGTTTTTGCTCATTCAGAGGCATATTCTGTTCAAAGTTGTACTAGATTTTGCTGGGAAGGTTGTCATTTTGAAGATTCCACATTGTTTCTTAGCTTATGTTCTTATGAATCATTACAGTAAAACTAAACTCTGTGGTGTAATGAACCTTAGAGAGCCATGGGCTGCAGTGTCCTGATATCTGCTTTCTTGGCTATGGGCCACGGGTTGCATGATCATATACCCCGGACAAGTGGCCAGCTTGTCGCAGGACCCCCGAATCATTACACTATGCAAATTAGATTGCCAACAATAGGTATGCTAAATAGATTGCTGAACAAATTAATGTGTGCAGATGACGAAATTAGTTGAGATTCCTGAATTGATATTTCTTCTTCTACTATCTTCTACTATTCTCTTCTTTAGCAGGTATTTAAACATGCTACAGAGTTAACAACATAAGTTGCATGAATTTCTGCTGTTTAAGATAAATTTTCTGGAATTTGGTTTAAATGGTGATTAAGTGTAACTGGCAAAAGGAAAGGGCTTAAACTACTCTTTCTAATAGTCTGAAATTTACTCTTTTGTCTTATGCATTTTGTCGGTTATTTTCTGTATCAATTCTTAAAAATTATAGGAAATCAGTGTCCTTTTCTGTAATACTAATCTAAAGCAATTTTTTTTATGCATCGTGGAAAATCTTTTGATATTTTTTGAAAATGGTGAAAGATGGTTGGTTAACTCACCAGATTGGGACAATGGAAAAAACCTTTTACATGAGCAAATGCATTAAGCAGTGTTACCCTATTTTCATTGTCTGGTATGTCTGCCTGATTACTGGCTGATAAGAAAGAAATATTATACTTTTGTTCTTTATGATTAGTGATCCATTCGATTATATCAGCTGGATTCCCATTCGTTTAAAATTTTGGTTTGATTTATTTATTTATTTTTTTGTTTTGTTATTAGAGCTGTCAAGTTTGCTGTGAGTCTTTTTAGTCTCTTTTCAGCTAACTCTGTTGCTAGGCAGATCAGAACTAGGGCAATGTTGCTTTGTAATGTCCCATGTTTCCTGTTTTACTTCAGCAAGGAAATGTTTCATATTTTAAGTGTTTTATTTCTTCACAATCTGAAATTCTGGTGGCATATAAATGCCAGTTGTCTATGAGTTTGCTATCATATACATGTAGCAACATAAAATTATTCATATCTGTATTGTCAGAAATTCTTTTTCCCATTAGTATTTACCCAGTGCTGGTCTTCAGATATTAGTTCCCCTTTAGAGGTGTTCAATTCAATAAATCTGGCACTACATCCATTCCTGACTGATTAATTTATTGCCAGACTACCACACAGTGTGCAGTTTTTCTGGGTCAATCAAATTTGCCACATGGGCACATCACATGGTACTATCTGCCTGTGGTATCCCAGAGGAAACGGAGGAGGGGAAAAAAGGGGGAACGAGGCATTGCACGATCATGAACAGCAAGTGGAACGTCCTAAGTTAATTGAAGGAAAAGCACAATGTCTTAAAGTAACAGTACAATACAAATACAGAAAGAGTAAAAGTATAACGGAAAAATATATACTATATGTACAGTATATACAGGATATTGCACTATATTGCTCGTTACTAATCATTAAGTAGGAAAGTTAGTGTCATTTGCAAGGTGGGCCGCTAGTGGTCGAAGTTTCACAGTCCTCGGTCTAGAATTGTATGTATAATTTAGTGTGTTTAAATTAGACAAATGTGCACAGTTAAGAGCTTTCATGAAGAAATTCCTGCTGAGTTTGTGCAAATGCTGCTCAATTGTACTAAGTTTCAAGTCTCTGTGTAGAGTGGCGTTGCTGACGTAGTAATGAGCATTAGTGATCATTTTAAGTATTCTATTCTGAATTACTTGCAGTATGTACAGGTCTCTCTTTTTAGCTTTATAGTCCAGACTGGCGAAGCATATGTAATGACAGGCCGTATGTTCATTATATACACAAGCCGCTTTCGACGCAGATCTAATTTTGAAAACTTGTTAAGAAGGGGCTTTAAACTGTTGATTACAGTGAAAGCCTTTTTCTTCACATTAGTGATATGGTCGTTCCAAGTTAGTTTTTGATTCAGTACTACCCCGAGGTACTTGGCTTTTGTGACTTGCGGCACCTGTTCATTGAAAAGATAAAATTTCCTGTTGAAAAGATAAATGTCCGTGTATGTTTTCTCCTGATGACAAGTAGTTGCGACTTTTGCGCATTGATCGATATCCTCCATTTAGTACACCAGGATTCAATATTGGGCATAATGTCCTGCAGCTTCCTAAAGCATGATTTGCGTTAGCAGACCTTACAGCTAAAGCTGTGTTGTCTGCATAACATCCTAAAAAGTTATTTCTGTCCAAGTGGTCACGCGGGAAATCTGTAACATATAATAAATATAAAATTGGTCTTAAAATGCTGCCCTGTGATATATCAGCATTAATTTTTCTAGTGTCAGAGACGTCTTTTCCGATGGAGACAGAAAAGCTTGTATTTGTGATGAAAGAAGTAATGAGCTCAATCATTCCCCTTTCGAAGTTGAAATTAATTAGCTTGTAAATCAGCCCCTCATGCCAGACGTGGTCGAAAGCCTTCGCCACTTCCAGCATGAGGATGGCAACATTTTGTCTGTGCTGTAAGGCATC